TGAAAAGATAGAGTCGATTCCTTGTGTTAGGGATTTGCAAAAATTTGAAGCAGAGGTAACGCCACCTGCTTTTTATATTTAGAATAGCATACATCAAATATTAATATTTTTTATGAATAAAATATTACTTTTATTTAATTATAATTAGATCATTTTAATCTTTTATATTTAAATTATTAAATTTAACAAAATTTATTAATAAAATAAAATAGTGTGAGAGATTTTTTATAATATTGATTGTAAAATTATTAAATTCAAGTAAATTATTTTTAATGAGTTGGAGGTCTTCTGGTAGAAAATTGTTTAGAATTTAAATTTATTTTGACTTAAAAAAAAGATAATATCAATTTTATATATTAAAATAATTAAATTTAACAAAATTTATCCACATAATATATATTTATAATTTCAATTTACTCTTTTTTTTTATTTAATTTATCATTTTGTTAGTGCTAGGTAATTACAATTTTTTAAAAAATTTCCAAGGTAACTAATGTTAAATTTCTGCTTTAATTTAACATTTTTATTACATCTAAACTTTTTCAACTTAGAGAATATATGTAATACTAAATTAAAAACTCTAATACCCATTACTTGAAATTGGAGAAGTAGTCAATAGGTTTAAAGCATCATAGAATAGGTATGAGAATATTACTCTATATCTAGTTTAGTCTTTTTAATTTATATATTGTGCCTAACCGTTAATAATCTTTATTTTTTTCTTTAAAACCTCTTATTACAATTTTTTCTACAATATACTTTGATTCATCATCTATTTTATTTGTAAAACCATTCCTCAGTTAGATTTCAAAAGCAGTGTACAACTTTTTGAAATTTGTGGGGCTGATAAAACAGAGGCTCAAAGGCTTTAAGTGCACTTTGTTTTGTCCACCACCATGTGTTTGTTAAATTGGTTAAGGGAGGTTAAGTTGAATTTTTTCTTTTGTTAGTGTATTTATTTATTTTATTTGTCTTTGTTCAGGTGTTTCGGTATATTTCTCAAGTTAAGACATTTTTTAGGTAAAGGAGAAAATTTAAGGGATCAGTACTTCATTATTTGTCACGAGCACTTGGTATCCTTTTGAACATTATAGATTTCAATATACAAGATATAGTGGGGAACAAGGTGACACTTACGCATGATTGCATCTGCATGAGTTAGCTAAGAAGGTAGTTTTGGTGGAAGATAATGAATTCATAATAGACAGAAAATCCTTGTAAATAAAGAATATGTGATGTATTTTATTTATTAATAATATTTGAATGAACCATATTAAAGATAAAAATGATGTGAAAGTTTCGACTAATTTATAATTTTTTTGTATGTTATCTTTTTATATTAGTTAATTATGTAATTTGTCTAAAGGATATATTTAAAATTAATGATTATTAATTAATTAATTAATTTAATTTTTGTAAAACCAAATTACTATTGTATTTAAACTTATTTATTATCAAAATTTTATTTTTTTAGATGTTAGTTATAAAGTATCTTTTAGTACTAAAATTAGTTGTTGTACATTTTTTTTGTGACAAAAATTTTTGTAAAAAAATATGTTATAATTACCCAAATACCCTATTGGCTTAATATTAGTATAAATAATTAGTGACATAGATATTGCATTAGTGACAACTTTTTTTTTGTTACAAATGTATGTTGTAATAACAAAAATACCATTTTTTGGTTCATATCTATTTAAATAATTGATGATTAAATATTTCATCACAAATAACTAATTGCATTTGTTGCATATTTTTTTATCATTCAATTGAAACATATTCAATTTAAACATATGTGATGAATAAAATTGTTAGAATTAAGCCTTTAATAATGTCGACTTTTTTATCACTATAAAATTTTGTCCTGTGATAGTTATCAAATTCATCACTAAAAGTATTAATAATAAGAGTTTTACTAACTATTTAAATTTCATCACGAATTTTAGTTTATGACGAAAAATAAAAATTTAGTAACTAAATGTGATTTTTTTGTAGTGTTAGCTTAACGGTATTTTTCACATTTTTTTCATATAATATTTTAAAATTTTAATTTAAAACATAAATTTTTAATTTTTAATTTTTTTATATATATTTAAAATAAATAGAAAATA